TTATTATTTGCGCCTGCCGCGCTTTTGACAACCATCTCTCTTCCTGCACACAAAACTTGGAGTCTGTCATGCTAGATGATTCTTGATTGTGAGTGCTACTGGATGAAAAGGCCCGAGTGTTTGGGCGAGAGATGTTCATCGTGTCAGTGCTGGATGGTCTCTTCCATGAGCCATCAGCAATACCAAGTGCCCCCGCATTTATCAAAGCCATTTCGCAGGTAATGCGCCACTCAGTATATGTGCTGAGTCCTAGGATTACAATATTCCCTCAGTCGGATTGATATTGGGTTAGACCATTGTGGTTATCATGGGCTTTTAATCCTGTGGATGAAAACATTTTCGCTGATATTTTAACGGAAGTCGATGTATTGTTAAACACCGGGCTCATAACCTGTTAGGATTATTGAGAGAGTGGAGTCACAGTGGCGAGAATAGATAGAGGGTAAGATAAGGTATGTAGAGAATATGTATAGTGGTGCAGTAAGATATATGAAAATGTGTGTGTGCTAAATACAGAGGGTGAGGGGGCTTAACTGAATCACCCAGCTGACTATGCAGAATTTTCCAACACACTACAGTAGGAAATCGGTTCCTGAATCCCAAGCGAATTGAAGGATAATGTCTGTTGCGGGGATTCTTTTTTCTGGATTCGCGCAAGGGAGCGAGATCTTAAGTGCAATTTTTTGAAGCTCGGTGGGATTGTGGTACCTTAAAAATATTGAGGAGCGGTTGGATGGTCGCTTTCAGCAGTCGAATCAGAAGCTTTCTACTTGGCTTCTAGTTCACGTATGAATCTATTTTTTTCCTTTTGTCTTTGTTTGCGAATAACCGATAGCTGATCTCTTGTACACTGCACTGCCTTACCGCCAGCCTACGTCGACCTAGCTGCGCAGTTTGGCCCAACAGCAGAGTATGGTACATGGCAGTTAATGCACCCCAGGGTAACTTGCTCGCGATCTGGAGTCTTTTACTAGACGGACCTGCACCGTGGGTAGCGCTCATCTCGAGAGCGAGTATCTGTCGATTGGTGTCCCTGGCATCAGTTACATTGTGCAATCTTTGGGTCACACTGCAGTTCGTGGAGTCTGCCGCTTTCTTCAAATAGCCGCTCGCCAAGCTTTGGTTTTCCTATGCAAAGTGCAAAATCCGGTCTATTGATGGTCTCGTCATGCTGGTCGCAAAATGCACGAGCTGAGTTTGGTCTAACCCTGTCTTGAGGGTCGCTTCTTCCATAACTATTTCCGGTGTGACTGGCATTAGTCCTTCGAGGGTGTAAAGTCTGTCAGGGATATTGATGCAAGCACCGAGATATAATTGAAGGCAGGTTTTTACTTCATTTCAGAGCTATCTGTAATGGTAGCTCCTTCCCCATCAGCTTGTATAGCGAGCCCTTAATTCACGACAGTGACTTGCCTAATCGAGGAGTTAGCCAGACGTAGCTTACTAGCCAGGCTTATTTTTGTGAAGTGTGAAGACATGCTTCTCTACGGGTGATCGGAACTGAGCCGCAGGAATTCGCGGTCGTTAGGTCTTTTAGGCCTCGCTTCTGATGCCTTGGGCTTTGTTGTGGCCACCGATGAGGCCGGCTTAGTCTTTTTTCGAGCCACCTCTTTCCAGGATGTCTTGGGAGTCTGGTCAGTGGTTAGGTGTGTCCGCTGGAAGGGGTTTGGTATTGCGGTTGCAACTGGTGGTGTGGCTGCTGCAGGTCTAGTGTTTTCCCTGTGGACGATCTACAAAATGCGTACGATACTCGCAATGTTCTATTTCTTCAGCTCTGTAGCTGGTACGTGGCACGGTTTGACGGCGTTGCCACTGGCAGCATGGACTAGTGCAATTACTTGCTGACTGGCTGGCTGTACCCGCAGAACTTCTTTAATGCGGACTTCAAGGGCCAAGCCGGTGATTTCGATGGCTTCTTCGAGCTATTTGTCTATTCTTGATTTAGTCAGGATGCAATGCCAATTAACGATGCGCTCTGCTTCTGCAAAACGTTTCTGGAACGGCCTCGGCTATGCGGCAAGAAATTTGGTCAAATTGGCGGAAATAAGGTTTTGGTATGTGTTTAACGAGCGCTGATAGCTCGCGCAACAACTTGAATCTGCTATTTTGGTAAGTTTTCTGGGCTGTTGTGGGTCATTTCGGCGTCTTGACGCGTCGAGTGTTTAGTGGGGAGGGTGGGCTAAGGGCAAGATTCGGTGATGGACTGGGGGTGCATAACTGATCTGAGAAATGGAAGATATGTTAAATGACAAGGTGTGTCTTGTTGGTGGAGGAACTTGCCGAGCCAGTCAAGGTCAAGCTTAGGAGTCGCGTGGAGGAAATTTGTACTTAGTAGTTTTGAGTCTATCTCACTCTTGTGAATATAACACTATCGCTTCTCATTCTATTTGACCTCCTTCCACTGTGATAATTCTATTGTCTTCTCTACAGCTATACAGCTATAGAAGGCCTCCTAATTTAATAAGATATTTAGATTAGAATTCGGCGTGGCTATGAGTTCGTGTGCCGGAAAATTGGTGTTGTGGATATGTTTTTGTTTGGTTTTTTGCGTAGTACAGAAGATGTATCATTATGAGGGGATCTTTTTTTTTAAATCATTTAATGTGTATTCAGCTATCTAGCTATGACACATGACCGGTGCTATGTATACATGTATGATGACTCTTTTGACATTAGAGACACTCATACTCTGGATTTCATTTGCAAATACCACTATGAGGTATGTTTGCTTACACAAACAGTCGACCCTCCTCCGTAAGTACCCACCAAAGGGAATTTAAAAACCTTTAGTTATCCAAGCATGCCTTCGTCATCCATGCATACCAGCGCCGCGAGAAATGTGGTCGTGCTTTGCCGGATTCGAACCAGTGATCTCCTGTTTCGAGTGGGATATGTGTCCAAGCTATCCACACTCTACTCAGAAGATCAGCCAAGACGATGTACCACCGCACCATCCAACCATAGCGGTGTTTACAGTATCGATAGCACCCTCGCAACCGAAGTCTTGGCACGCAGAAAGCTCAATTTGTAAAACTTCTTGCCAAATTCCAAATTTCACGCTCTTCGAAATTGTAGCCATTCACTAAATCATCTTGAAAAATTGTCCTGATTCCTCTCACGCTCATTCGAAAGTACTGTCTCCCAGATTTGTGCGCCACGCTTTTCTTCCTCCGTCGGGTGTAAATATCATAGTGGGTGTGTACATGGCGACCAGCTAAGGCCAGAGAAAGTCGATAAGAGGTGTGGTCATTGGAATAAGGATCACTAGGTCGTACTTGTAAACTTGATGAGGTTTAGGTAGGAATCGATTTCGTTGGGAGTGAAAGATTGATATGGTGGAGTATTTTGAATCATTGCCTCGTGGGCCAACTTATTCGGTATTGCTAAATTTGACTGAACTTGGCTCTGGGAGAATATTTCACTCCCAGGTTCGTAGAGGACACCGCGTACAGGTGTTCAGTCATGCCCTCCAATGAGAGGATCGCATGACGAGCTAGGCAAGGATAAGCTAGCTAGGGCCTACGCTGTGGCCATCCAACGTGGCGGAACATAACATTCAATACCGGGAATCCTATGTACTCTAGGCCCTCCTATGAAGCAATCGTCTTTGTCAAATGACTTCGTAATACCAGTTTCTGCGAAGAAATTGGACGTTGACACTCACCTGTATTCTGTTAGACCGATACATGACGGTCTCTGTTTGTAGGCAATTGGTGTAGATAAGAGATAAAATTTCTTGTAAACATAAAACATAGAAACATATTTTATGTACCTTTCTGAAAATTAAAGTCTTCGATGGAATATTATTTTTGACATCTTTGACAATTTGGGGAGGACGACAGGGTGGCCTTGGACCAAGGATTACTTGCCGACTTTTGCCAAGAGCGCTGGCACTTGAGTAGTTTATGTAGACTGACCTGGCCAACGCGACACCATAAACACTACACACACTGTAGCCAAAAATGTTTTGTAGTCTCTTTGTAGTAAGAATTAAATACGGATTAATGCATGGATACCGTCGCCATTTACCTAACTAATACGACCGACCTTGAAGCCACTCCGTAGGCAATACAACAGCAAGCGTTATCTCCGCTCGCCAAACACTGGCTAGGCACGATCACTCATTATCGAACCACCAAGGATAAGCAAAGTGTATCCTGGCAAAGAAAATATGGTCCCAACACGCATGAACTTCCTTGATTAATGCCATCAAAGGTCACTATTCTTACCTTTGTGATCCAGATTTTCGCGTTTACTTACTGTTTTAATTTTTATGCTATGTGAGCGTATGATTTTGGAGGTGGGTGAATTGACGAAGGCCAACTCAAGCCAGAGATCGTTTGTAAGTTGATTAGTATCTATACAATTCAAAGTCAACAATGAAACATTTCAACTTCGAAATTGACAAACGTAGGATCTCGTTATAGAATTTGTTATTTTTTAAACCAAATTATTTACATTGAAGCTGTTACAAGGAATAAGTTGTATTTGTAGGTGAAGGCAGAATTGCTACAAAAGATTTGTCAAATTCTCATTTCTATAAAATAAGTATTTTTGTCAGAGCAGTACTCTGGATATAGCTATAATAGCTAGAGGTCAAACTATCGTTTTGAACCATCACGTCCTAGGGTACTTTGAGCTTTACTTAGATACTAGAGAAGTTTGAAGAGCCGCATGACGAGCAAAGAGCGGTGTGGAATCAGTATCCAGTTGATACACTGTGATTTCACTATTTTAGCTTGATTGAAATTCCAGTCAAAGCCTAGAGGCGCATAATGATAATTGCTTCGTGAAGCGATCATGCCCCAAGTTCCAGTGGATCTTTCTGATTTCAATGTGATTTAATACGACTATACAACTGGATGACTTGCAGTGTAGCTTAAAAGCCTGCACGAGCTAACTCTGGGAAAATTGAAAACCTATGGAAATGCTTCAATTCGAAGATTACTTAAGTGGTGAAGAACATATTACAAAGGTCGAAAAATTCAGTATTGTAATCCCTAAATCTCACCCATAAAATTAACCAAACGAACTTTCGTTGCATCTTTTGGATGGAATTGGGCGATTTTACATCGAACGAGAAATCTAGCAGCAGCTGATTCTCTGTGGAGAATGACATAAGGATCTGGACTATTGATATCCGCTGCGTTGTTCAATAACCGCTCCAACAATTCCCTCATATCTGCTGCCACAGCACTCTTTTTGTCTTGCAAGCTTGGCTCGGTAGACACATTGCCCCATATCTTATCAATACGTTGTTGACCTTCAGCTTGTGATAGTTTGATTTTTTTGACTCTACTAGTTTTGTTGAAACTATCCGCTAATGCTTCATCATCGATGTTCGTGACTTGACTCACAGTTGGACCTCCAAGTTCTTCAACTACTAGCATTGACGCAAGATATTTATCTATAAATCCGTTTAATGCTTTAAATAGCTTTGAGGTTTTGTTATCATAATATTCTTTCTTTGCCTCTATTGTCTGCATCATCTCATCCTTCAGTGTCTTTCTTGTTTTGTGTTCGCGTATCTCAAAATTTTCACTGAGGGTTGCTATACGCGCCAATATTAGGTCTTTTGTCTGTTGTGCATCCTCAAAATCTAGACTTTCTTTTTGTAAGCGCCTGTTTGTTTCAACAGTTGAAGCCTCCACTTGAGATATGGCTAAAACAGTTTCTGTTATTGACTTAGAAGTGTGGTGGAGTGCGAGTATATGGGGTAGGAGGGAATCATGGGAAGGAGTAAATGGTTCAGAAGATATAATTGATCTGTAAGCTAAGGCCAAAGAGGTAAGCTGCTTGATATAGGTACTAGGATCACTGGATGGCTCCGTCTTGATTGGGGTCACTGTCTTTCGAAGCTGCAGTTGTCTTAGCTGAGGACATCGTTTGCTAGTGTACAAATCTAACCTCGGCCAATCGAGACTCGTAATCTTTGATGGAGTCTTCAAGGTCTTTGGCAGTCTTAAGGAGACGCGTCTGGTATTCGTCAGAAGTTGAGTGTTCCATGTTCCTTTGGCCTGATCTAAAATCGCGATGATGTGTTAGCGTGTTTACTAACGACAACTTTCAGCTTAGGCTCGTGCAGCTTTCGTTACACTATGTAAACTCGATTTCTCCTTAGCCCCAATCGACATAAACACCACAATTACATCAAACCTTTCGAAACATACTGTTGTCTAATCCATCAAACTTTCGGGCTTGATATTCTTTAAGAACAAATTACAGCATCAGCTTTATTGAAAGGCACCACCAGGATCAAAGACGAAAAAATCTTCTAGTTTTTTTCACCTTCAAAGAGCATAAAATATCGCGCAGTTATCTGGGATTCCAAAGGTTTGAGGTTAGGTCTCTACTACTGCTTTCCCTGGGGAATCTTTCAGCCACTTCGCGTCTCTGCACTTAATATCTATTCTACCACTGATAAAGCACCAACACTTATTCCTACACAAGTTCAATCTCGCAGATTCTCCAAGACTTATCTGCTTGTCTTTAAGCTCCCTCCTGCACCATTCCTAACGACATTTCTCTCCTGATCAGTCATTTAAGTAACACACGCTACCCCTTCACTCGATTACCAACACCAGCACCAGCACGTTTTCCTTCGAAAACCCCCCTAGGTGTACATAACGAACAAATCATAATAAATTTCCGACTTCATTCTCCCAGACTGCATCTCCCAACTAAGTGAAGAGATTAATTGTAAAAAGTAAAAATGTCTACATCAGAAACAGAAGCTCCAACGCAATCGACTAAACGACCACTTGAAGAACCATCTTCTCCCTTAGGTTTAACCGAGCAACCCGATGCGAAGCGACCAGCACTCGACAAGTATGAGAGGACTGAAGCCGAGAGCAAAATACCAGCATCAGAAACTCAATCCGTTAGCTCTAAAACTGGGGAAACAAGCAGTCAAACAAAGGGCGATGTAGCTGACGGACCAACTGATGTGATCGCAACAGATTCCGGGACAAAGTCAATTGAAACTGCCGTGATATCCTCTAGAGAGGTTCCAACCCAGTCCTCAAGTCTCCAACATGACGAGAGTGGATGGATTCATATCCGTGCTGTCATTACAAGCGCAGAGGCGGCCACTGTGATTGGTAAGGGTGGTGAGAACGTATCTATGATTAGGAAAATGTCAAGCGCCAAATGTACAGTTAGTGATTATCAGAAGGGCGCTGTAGAGAGGATCCTAACGGTAAGCGGGGTTGTAGATGCGGTAGCTAAGGTATGACACAAATTATTCTTCAAAGATGCATCTAACATTTTAGGCTTTTGGTCTAATTATACGAACATTAAACAATGAACCTCTTGACAGTCCATCTAATGCTCAGTCAACAACCTATCCACTTCGTCTTCTTATCCCGCATATCCTAATTGGCTCAATTATTGGCAAGGGCGGCGTGCGCATTCGTGAAATACAAGAAGCCTCAGGGGCTCGGCTTAATGCATCTGACTCAACTCTTCCTCTTTCAACCGAGCGTTCATTAGTTGTGCTAGGTGTAGCTGATGCCGTCCATATTGCTACGTACTACGTTGGTAGTACATTATTCGAGCAACTCACCGAGAGATTCGGTGGCCCTGCGTCTTCAGCCTATGCGTCACGAAGTGGTGGGCCAGCTGGCGTTGTACCAGGTGGTATGCAGGTCGTCCCTTATGTTCCTCAGCCGGCGGGAGGGAATTATGGGCATCCTGATAATCGACGTCACTCTGATCGTGGACCACTTACGCCAGGTCACGGTTCCTACGGACAAAATTATTCAAACAACCATGGCCAAGCTCCTCAGCAGTCATCAATTCCGATGCATTATGGTGGCTCACCTGCTGTTGCAGGATATGGAGGTGTTGGTCCACAACAACCACAACAACCCCAAATTACTGGCCCGCAAACTCACGGTGGCCCTCCAGTCCAGCCGATGCCTGCGATTGTCCCAGGACAGCCACTGACACAGCAAATATTCATACCAAATGATATGGTGGGTGCTATCATTGGTAAAGGTGGTGCAAAGATCAACGAAATCCGTCAATTGAGCGGAAGTGTAATCAAGATTAACGAACCCCAAGATAACAGCAATGAACGCTTGGTTACGATTACCGGGACAGCTGAATGCAATCAAATGGCTTTGTACATGCTCTACTCGAGACTTGGTGCGTCCTCCCTCACTAATGACTAAATACTAGTGGCAGATATTAACCTTATACAGAGAGCGAAAAACACCGCATTTAGTGCAATTATTTGTCGTGGAATGCACCGCTGTTGGTTTGCTTTGGGGGTGCATGTACTGGAAGGCGTTATAATGATAACGAGACAGCGAGGCTTAGAAAACTGTCTCGACAAAACCTTTGACATGCCATCGGGTGGAATACTATGCGTCTAGTATGGAATAAAAAGTATAATTGAACTTTATAGCCGTATCATATTGACCTCAGGCTCTTATTGGTTCGTTCTCGATTGAGGCATTAAGGATTATATATTCTATATGCGTTCCACATCTGTACATATCTGCATCGCCGTCCCTGAAAGCGATTTGCGCTCGCTAATAAAGTTTAAATTTTAATTAAGATTGAATTTTACACTAATTAACGAATTCAATGGCGTTAACATTGGTGTGAATATTCGGCAAAAATATTTACTGATGAACAAACAGGCAGCACCAAAATAAATTTCAGAGATACACCCAAAAAATCCACCGTAACCTAACCAGTGCCCAAATCAGTGTCGCTATCTAGCTAAGAAGCGAGAATATCGGACTCAATTCTTTCCTGTGCAGAAGAAACGTACCCGGAGTAGGAAATCCAAGCTGTCGATATGGCTATCCGTTACAAAAAGTCTAACACATGGTGTTGGCGTGTCCGCAGTGAATAAGTGGAAGAGGCGACTTTCTCCGGCAAGCTTAAGACAGGTCATGTGAAGCTATGATGAACAGCCCAGAAGATGTGGCTAGAATCACGCAGTGGATACTAATCAAAGGGTGGATGAAACAGTTTCGACTTGCAGGGGATGTCGAGGTAGCAATTTCACATATAATAAATCGATCTGGAAAGGGAGAGGACCGAATCCACACTGACTGGACAGTGTATACTTCACTTCCTGAAGGCAAATTTAACAAATTTATAGGAATATAAACAGACAGGATCAGGAGGTTTTCACCAAATTAGTTTCCTCCTTTGTAAATAATGAAGATAGTCACCTGCATGGGCATATAGGGTGCCTTGGCGGGTTAAATGAAGCCAAATTTAAAATTGGTGTGAATATTCTTAGAAAATATTTTTTTGACCATTTTTACTGGATTTTTAGTAGGGCCTGACGGTAAAGATATTAGATTACCCTCAACATCTATAGACAAGTCGAAGTTTTCACAGAGACATGATCCAAATCACTTGTTTTTTAATCCTGATTCAAAATGAACGTAGTCAGATTACTTCTGAAACTTGATAGGTCTTCATTCAACAGTCGAAGCGGGCTTTACCTGTTAGACATAGATCTGTACAACGAACATTGTTCAAGATCTACTAGTTCCTAAAGATCACAAATAAAATATTTTACTGATTCAGAGCTCATAATGATAAACTTTTGGAATGGGCGAATGGAATGAGAAGGATGTTATCTGACCACCTTTGGATGAGTAAATGAATAGATATTTATTCGTAACGGTCGCAAGCTTAGCACTCAAAGAGCATGACACGGAGAAGGCTACTCATTCTCTGAAGACTATATACAACGATAACTAAGTTTGACATTTGGACTACTCATGTAGTGGATGCATTAGCTGATACCACTCGAGACCTTGGTGCTAGGGACTTTCACCCTTCCCTCGACCGTTAATATCTACCAAAGGGGAGAACAGGTGATACCTTTGCCTACCCTAACGTGCCTTTATCATCTTGTATATAGCCACCGGGCAGATATGGCCCCACAGATCTCTCTTTCTCGAGTGAGTTAGGCGTCATGGCCACCTAGATTCTGACTTGAGGAGATGACAACTAGGACGCGGACCACAACACCTTCCATCGTCGCCTGTTTTTAAATTGTCGGCAGCACTATCATTGCCTCGGCGCTCAAAGACACTCTCAAGTCGAAAATACTCGAAAAATGGGCGTCCGAACATTCCCATTTGTGACCTCTTCACTCGTTCGTCCCACTTCCCAGCTGCCTGTCCTCCCTCAAGATGTGGAGCCCCATTAGAGCAACGGTCCTCCATAGACCAAGACCCGAGCTTTGTAGATTATGCCTTAATTTCCTCCTCGCGGGTATACATAGCATCGCAAATGTGTAGTGGGAGATGGCCAGTTTTTGATGAGGCAAATGCCCGATGGTGATTGGAGTAACGCATTTGTCAGTAGTTAATGCGAGATTGTGTAGCAAGGTTGGGGTAGAGGAGTCGCGTGAGAATGATAGGTCCGACATTGACGAGAATTCATTGATTTTAGATATGCTTGAGGTTGCTTCGACTTTGATACGGTTGCAATTCTCCTTGACTATCGCAGATATGTAGAGCATACTGAGCTCTTACACCGGCACCGCTGAAAGATGAATTCTTCATCTTTTTCGACTGACTGCCATTAAAGATGGACTCAAACTTTATTGAGCGCCGCAACCATTCTACAATTAACGAGATTACTTACTTTTGTCGGATTATCTTAAAATAACGTGAATCTCTGTCCGGTGGCATGTTCTGAAGTCACCCTGGTCTAGTCAATGTGGAAATAAGATGGGCTTTTACAGATTGTGCAAAGGATCCTATACTTGGGTGGCTATAAACAGCCGTTATTCGTAAATTTTAACCCAGAAGAGCTGAATATAATTGGAACTGGGCTATAGTTACAGCGAAGGCGGACGAGACGGGAAATTCCTCCCATTGAGATGGCAGGACATGCCGACATCTTAATTTCTTGTCTCGATCGTTTAATATTGAGTGTTATACCGCTCCGATTTAGATTGTCATAAATCTTTGGTTGCGCCAGGGCGTTTCATAGCTTCGATAGGGAAAGTTGACATGTTTGCAGTCCAGTGGCCCTGTAGTTCGCGATGTCGCGTCGTCAAATCTTAAATCGAAGATAAAATGGTCGCTGAGTCGAGCACAAAAACATTACATATTTACTAGGGAAAGTCGTAGGTGCAATGGGCGAAGGCATGATTAGATTGACAATAAGTAGACATTAATAGAAGGGATCAAGGAATAGGTGTAAGGATATTATTCAGGATAATTTTTGCTGGAAATTAGAGCCAAATTGTCATAGCTATATAGCTCAATACAATATGAATTATAAAAAAAAAATGGGAGAAGGCCCGATACGGCATACAAGCTTGTGCGGAGGACAGAAGAAATGTAGCAGGGCTCGTAACCCCACCGTATGCTTGTTTGGGCTGAGGCCTGTTCTTCCAGGCATGAAATTTTATTGTATAGACCAACTAGACCACCCGTGCGGCATACCACGTCCAGCACGGCTTACGCCTCCCCCAAGACCTTTACCGTTTCTTATGTATGTATAAATTTCGTATCAGGCAAAAGCCCTACACCCAAGAGGCATGATACAGGTGTGTGATCCCTAAAGACTCACTACTACCTATCTGTCCAGATTTCTAGACCGATTGATTACATGAAAAGAAGAAATAAAGAAAATTGCCTCGACAAATAACGCCATGCGCCTTGCCCACTTTCATATTCAACTGCTAAAGATATTCCAGTCCCTCTTGCCGTTTCTTATATTGCTGACGGAATTATTAGCCCGCCTACTCAACAATCCTGGTCGATGCAGAATTCGATGTCGGGAACGTTTTTGACAAGGATTAGCGGTTCCGGACAGTGATGTGATGAATTTATTGTAATTCTTGAGTCATAGACTATCTAAGATATGGGGCTCCTCTGATCCAGGCCACACCTTGTACAGTGCTCCTATACTCTTTTGTAATTTGATAGATCAATGATAGATTGCCCGTAATGAATAGCCGTTTAGCTCAGTATTTACCCGTGGAATTCGGCCATCTTTTCCAAGGAACCTTCTACTAATAAAAGATAAAATTGGTAGCAATAGAAACTGCGTGCGCGGGAAAAAGTCTCAAAAAACCTGCAGCCCCGGCCAGGCGAGGCCTAGACAGCGGGACCATATGAGGTGCGCATATTCATCTATATCTCCCTTCTTTGTAACAGTCGAGGTTGACTTGATCCAATCCATCATCTCCGTATCGGGTGCTGGGTACGCTCCAGAAACCCATAGGATGGCTTCTTCTCCTTGATCAAGACTTTGTGATGAGAAGAGGCTCGGCCCTGACATCTGATCTGATCGTGTTTAGCTACATGATAATGGTGATAGGGGAATGTGCTTAGGGTGAAGACGATATAGACCGCGAAAAAGATTGGGAATCCTCATTGAAGTGAGGACTAAGTTGTTACTCAATCTCGGCTCTGCAGACTCTACAGTAAGAGCTGGAAGTTTGTAGGGGACACCATTGACAAATTCTGAGAATAGTCACCCACCTGGTTCCGTAAAGTGAGCGGCACATGGGTTTGTGTTCACACGTTTCACAAACGAAAGGAAGGATTATACTGTTAAGTTACCGCAACGCCTGGTTGTCCGTCTCACGTAGCAGACTTTTGGATTTCACCTTATTTTCGCCTGCCATCACTTGTCACAGCGAGAATGGAAGCTGCCGTGCTCTCAACCTTAGTTTAGCGTCGTCTTGCAACTTCCGTCATCCTGCAAATAAACCATCACTGCATTGCCTATTCTTCGGCCTAGAAGACTAGAACTGAATTTGTCCACAAAAATGAAGCTACACTTGAAGGTTGATGATAGAATGTGCTCACGGTAATTTCTTGTCGCTTTGGATAGAACACCTCGACTGTCCAGCGCGATCTATAAATCTGATGCGAGGTATTGTATTCTTTTTTTTAATTCATTTTATTGTCCTGTCTAAGTCTATGACTATGTAGGACATGCAGGTCCTCTCTGCCTACAGGCCAAGGATACCTATACCAGTAGTATATTCCCTCCTATGCCTCCCATACAGCTCCCCTCAAACAGTACCACCCCTCAAAAGTCCTCATTCGATCATACACTAAGAGGAGCCCTTAGCCCTTCATTATCTCCCCTCTCCAGCCAACGAAACGATGGCCATTTGCGGGTGTATGGCAGCCGGGAAAATTCGCAAAAACCACTGGGTGCGAAGCTCTCCCAACACCGACATTAGGAATAAATCCGAAGACATAGTGATCCTTCTGAAGC